ATATATATATATATATATGTTTATATATGATTCTAAGTACGTATTAAAATGTATACACTTTTATACTCAATCAAATTCAATTAAAAGTGTTTAACAAGATATTTCATCGTTAAATAAATTTAAATGACAATGTTTTTTTACATTTTTTATTTGTCAATACAATTCAAACATAAATTCAGAAAACAAATTTTAGAAAAAAATTAAAAATTAATAAACTTTTAGTTCGTGAAATATATATTTATTTAAATAACAGTTACTTGGTGAAACTTTTTAATTTAACAAAAAAATACAAACCATATACACTTAAATACTTTTGATTACTTAAATACTTTTGATTAATTATTTTATCTTGTTGATTTTTTCAATTATGTTTTTATCTATAACTATTATAAAGGGAATATATTTTAGTAACCACTCCTTTGGTGTCTACTTTTTAATGGACCATTATACTCCTTAAAATGTAAAAAAAAAATCTTCTTATATTTTTTCTAAATAACTATCTACAATTTTTAATATTTGTCTGTGTGTAATTATTAAAGGCACAAAGTGTCTCGATCCCTCTAGTTTTAATTATCTCGATATGATAACAATACTTAAGTTTCAGCCTATTTATCTTCGAATTGAATTATGAATTCAACATGGATTATTGAAATAATATATAAGTTATGGCTTATATTATACTTCATTTTTTTAATAAAAAAAATACATTATCTTGTGCTTCAGTGTAGAATTTGTGACATATAGGAAAAGATTGATATATACCACAAGCTTAATTGTGCTTTTATCTTTTAAGTATTGTAATTTTGATCCCAAGGTTTTAATTGGATAATTTTAGTTTTTAAAGAATTGTGATTGTGCGATTTTTGTCTTTCAATTTTTAATTGAATAATTTTAGTCCATTAAATATCATAATTGTGCGATTTTGGTCTCCTTTATTAAAAATTTAATAATTTTAATAAAAAAACTAAAATCACACAATTATAATATTTGAAAGATTAAAATTGTTCAATTAAAAATTGAGGGACTAAAATCGCACAATTGCAATATTTTAAAGACTAAAAATTACTCAATTAAAATCTTGAGGATGAAAATTATACAATTACAATACTTAAAAGGTTAAAAACGTAATTAAGTCTATAACATAATACATTTTTGGTGTAAAAGAAATATATTTTAAATTATATATTTGAATTTGGTTTATAGTAATTTTTATGCTTATTATCGATACTTTTCACTATTTATTGTTATTTTAATTTATGAATGATTTTTATTGTATTATATGAATTTTTTAACGGTAAAGTTATGACTATTGAGTATAGTCTAATATAATTAAAATTAAATTTGACTTTAATCAAGATATTATTTATTACTTATTATTTGTTATCATGAATTAAAATAATGTAAAGCAAATAAAAAAGTCAGACAAAATTTTATTAAAGGTTGAAATTCAAAGTTTGACTATATATAATAAAAAACAATTATTTAAAACTCATTAATGATCATACAAAAAAATTAAATAATGATGAATAGGTTAGAGAGAGATTTTAGTAAAAAAAAAAAATAGAAGAAAAGTTAGAGGTAGGCTTTAGTTTCAATATTAGAAGCATTAGAACTAAAATAAACAAAATTAATGACAATGAATGAAAAAAAAATTGCAAAATTAAAATTTAAATATATGTATTATCAATTTTTTCAATGGTCGTCTTTAAAATAATGCAAACTTAAAATATGAATGTACAAAAAATTAAAATATGAACTTATATTATCCTTAATTTTTTACTCTCCACTTTTTTATAAAATCAACCACTAATATATATTTTAGTAACTACCCTTTTGATCTCTACTTTTTAGTGGATCTTTATACTCTTGAATGTAAAAAAAAATTTGATATCTTTTATAATTTCTAATATTTGTCTGTGTATAATTATTTGAGGCACGCCTTGACCTTGTAGTATTTTTTAATTATTTTTTTCCTTTATGATAACACAGTCTATTTTTTATGTGTCTCATTCTCACTGATGTACACATATAAATGTATCATAAAACATATTTTATATTCCAAAACAATAATAATAATGATTTACATACTATCATGAAAAGTATGGTTTAGTAATTTGATACAAATTATGATCAATGTTAATTGATTATTTTTAATATAATTAATATTGGTTGTTTATTTCATTTTCTATATTATAACTATTAATAAATAAATTGGGTGAAAAACAATTCTAAACTAAACTAAGTATATTAAAATACAACACATGTCATTAAACCTATCTTTTGTTGATTTATAAATGTTTCTATAATGATGAGCAGAGATCATGAAAAAATAAGTTAAACTTATAAAATAATGTAATATATAATAAGTTTTAATTAATAATCTTTGGTGTGAAAAAAACTAATAATCTAAAGTACATTTAAAAGATATATTAAAAAGTATATTTAGTAAGGCATTTCTCTTAAAATGTTGATGGAAAGATCGAGTAAAAATGTATCATTTTTGCATATTTTATAATTTAGAAATGCATGAATTTATTATTTTCTTACAATAAACTAAAATATAGTATTTTCAGTAAGGAAATAAATTTGAAATTTGAAAAATAGAGAGAAAGTGAACAGTTATTTTAGTGACAGTTACGGTAACTGTGTAACCGAAGAGAGAAGGTAGAGAGTGCATTAATATTTATGTGCATAGCATAGCATTAGCAGCTTCAAGGTTTTGTTTTTGTTTTGATTCATTTGACGAAACAAAAAGCATGGAGCCTGAGAAACAGACCCTTCTCAACCACCACACCGAGAAGCACTTCACCGCCGGCGAAGTCGTACGCGACATCATCATCGGCGTCTCCGACGGCCTCACCGTCCCCTTCGCCCTCGCAGCCGGCCTCTCCGGCGCCAATGCCACCTCCTCCATTGTCCTCACCGCCGGCATAGCCGAGGTCGCCGCCGGCGCCATCTCCATGGGTCTCGGAGGGTATTCAACCAAACTCATTTTCTTTCATTTTCGCTCAACACAACACAACCATTTCTCTTCCTTATAGTTAACGTTATTTTATCTGTTAATCTTTAATGTTGCATTGTGCAGTTATTTAGCTGCAAAAAGTGAATCCGATCATTACGCTAGAGAAATGAAAAGGGAGCAAGATGAAATCATCGCCGTGCCGGATACTGGTTTGCACTGTTATTATTATTATTATTATTATTATTATGTTTTTCATTTTTCTAAACTTTTTGTAATATTTTGTGGTTATACATGTGATGTGAAAAAACAGAAGCGGCAGAGGTGGCAGAAATTCTGGCTCAGTATGGGATAGAGGCTCATGAATATACGCCTGTGGTGAATGCTCTTAGAAGAAGGCCTCAAGCATGGCTTGATTTCATGATGAAGTAAGTTCTTACATTCTCACTTCGTTATATGATTGAACATGTTTTTTGTTTGTTGGTATTGGTAGTCTTCATCATAGAGTGTGCCAATTTTGGGGGTTTATGATGGGCTACTGCTATATAGTGATTGTGGTATGAGGACAAGTTGAATGGTGATTGGTGACCACACTGTGTAATGGGAATTTGATGACAAGTTGAAAAGTGGCACCACCGAAAGGAATAGAAAGCAAAGTAGGTTTTCACTTTTTTGAATGTGGGCATGGTTTGGTCCAGAATTTGAGCACGAGCTATCTGAATGTGGACAACTTGAGGATTCCCATTTCCAATTAGTTGACACAGGGGATAAGACTCAATAATGACTACATGGGCATCTTTTTGTGGTTCTGTTTTGCTGCCCTTCTGCTAATGTTGATTGAGATTTCTGCCTAGAAATTATTTCTTCTTAGTTGTTAAAAGGTATCTTCTTCAAATGCAAATGTAGTAATTAATGCATGAATTGTTGAATATTGGGTTCTGACTTTTGATAGACAAAATATCATGGCACAATCGCTGTGTTTAAAATCATCAAAAAAGAATTAATTTGGTAAGATTTTGATATACAGAATCAAAAACCTTGACTCTATCACATCCACAGCTGTGTACAATTTATATACATCATCCACGTTTTTATTGTTTTTAAATGTATCCTTCCAAGTATGGATGAGTATGTTGGAATGCAAAACAAGGTTATACATTGATAAAATAAGAAGAAAAATAATATTTTATAAAGTATAGACATTTGAGATGATTACCAGAAATAAAATTGTGAGGAATTAAGTCCTATAAACCGATAAATTTCCTCTAATATAAATATCCCCTCTTAGACAAATATCACATAGAGCACGTCTATGATGGATGGAAAAATTGACAATGTTAGACCATGATTGAATACAAGTTTAAAAAAATATTCTAGAATTTTTCTATTTAATAAAAAAAATTATTTTTAGTGAAAAAGTTATCAAATGTTTTTTTAAGCTTGTATCCAAGCAAATTCTTAGTGTTGAACAAATTAATTAACTGGTTGCTACCTTTGCATGACAGATTTGAGCTGGGACTAGAGAAGCCAGATCCAAGGAGAGCATTGCACAGTGCAATGACCATTGCGATTTCTTACATATTGGGAGGGCTTGTTCCTCTGGCTCCTTACATGTTCATTCCTAGGGCAGCAGAAGCAGTTGTATTTTCAGTGGTGGTTACATTGGTTGCATTGTTGGTTTTTGGCTATGCCAAGGGACGCTTCACAGACAATAAGCCTTTCAGAAGTGCTTTCGAAACTGCTCTAATTGGTGCCATCGCCTCTGCTGCTGCTTTTGGTTTGGCAAAGGCTTTCCATCCATAGATTATTTTTTGATGCTTTATTATAGTGTACTTGTTTGCAACTATGTTTCTTTTGAGAACTTCTCTTTCCAACTTCTTTGCTATTTGGTGTTACAGCTTTTCATTTTTCTGTTTTACCATGTAGTTAGTTCCTTTTGCAAGTTCAGACCCTTATGTGAAGTATTTCTTTGCATTCGAATCGTCTCTCTTTATTCGTCGTATGTTTTAATTTGATATGAATTAAGGTAAGCTAGCTAGAATATTATAGGTTGAATAGTTATAATTAAATTTTTAGCCATTGGAAAATGACAAGAGATTGAAAAGTTATTAGCTTCTGATAAATAATTTTGCATAAACTTGTTAAAATACTTTTAAATGTTTTAACATTTTTTCCGATCTAATAACCTAGTCCAGCTTAACCCCAAACTATTTTTGGCCAATTCAAGTTTATATTTTGAAGATATGTTTAAGTTCGAATCATCACAATCCGGTCTTGTGACTTATGCTTATTTAAAGTTTATATATTTTTTTAATATGTATTAATTATAAGACTTCTTAACATAATAGAAACATGTTACATATCACGATATTATAATTATTTTATTTATTTTGAAATATTTAAGTAAAATATGCCTTACTTTAGAAATATACAAGTTAAAATTTATTTATTTATTTTTATTTTTTTACTTTATAAATTAATTATATGCAAGATTGATATATTATGTTAATAAATCATGTCAACATTGTCATGACTCAGGTTATGATTGAATCAAGAGGTAGAAACTTGAATAAAATGGTCCTAACCCATTTTATGGTTATTCCTAGATTTGGGTATGAATATTTGAGTATTAAAGATATTTATTTAAAATAATAATTTTTTTGACACCATTCAAATAATAAATTAAAATTATACTTATAGCCTTCACAATTTATATTTATAAATTTATGAATTAGTTGATTTATAATTTTATTCTGTTGAATTAAATTAAATTGTTATTATTTTTTATGATACATAGGAATCGAGCATGATATTAATAACACACTACTTAACTAAGGTCGAATTCTTGATAAAAGATTATTCTGTTACTAAAACTAAATTTATATCATTATGTTGGATTTGAGTTTGTTAAATATTTCATTATGTTTAGGATTTAATTAAAGTGAGGCAATGAATTTGTGTGTGAATATTTAGGTAGTTATAAAATAAGAGCGATGTGTTAACATGTATTAAAAAAGCATGTTGTATAAATACTTAGATATTGCTAAATACTTACAAAGTCTTGAGATCTACATAAATGAAATTCAACCATAATAAATACTGATTAATAGTGACGTGGTCCTGTCTTAACAAATGATCTCGAAATCCAAAAGGCAAATTGTGAATGCGCGAGTCACATCCAACCTGCAACCATATTCCCTTCCCGAGGCTTTTAGAATCCCTTGGCGCCAAACTCTTCTCCAAATAGGAGGATCCTCATTTAGCTATTCGGAACTTGACTGCATAACCAGCGCACACAACCCAATCTTCTAACCACAAAGAAAGAACGGCTTCCGGATTCAAGTGTAAACATCATTTTCCACTATTCAATTTTTACTTCAAATCAGTTACTCAGTGCGATAAAATCAATTATATTTATACAAAATTAACATACAGTACAATAACTTATCATCCAATGATAATGTAAAAAAACAAAAAAAAAATTACCAAAAACAAAATTTTAATTAAATCCACTTTATTATATCATTAGAAAACCCATTAAGTAAATCTATTAATAAGGTGTCTTCTTTTAGAGTGATTAAAATAAATCTCAACATGTGAACCAACATAAATATCACTAGTTTGAACCGAGTTGAATTAAAAAAATTTAGTTCATTTTAATTGTAATATATATATATATAGAAGAGTTATAATAACGAGTTAATCACTTATATATTGTCAATATAAATTTTTTTATACTGATAATTAATTATATCTTTTAATAATATTATGTCAGTTGCTTATTTAATAAAACAATAATAAAATAAACAATTTTAAAAGATATGATTGGTTGTTAATGTAAAAAACTTTACACTGATGATTAACTCTATAATAACACCGGTGTAACTTTTAGTAAGTGTTACACCACTCAATAACTTTATATTAAATACGAATTTTGTAAATCCAACTGTTAAATTGAAAGTTCATATCTCTTAGATCATATATACAAAATTTTATATCAATCCAAGATGATTTGATACTTTATTTTTATAAAACAAAATTGTTGTAATATATTCATTTCAAAATATACTAAAATATGAACATTTTGATCACCTTCAAATTGTTGTTTAATTTTAACAAAATTTGATATACATATATAAAGTGATATGAACTTTCAATCCAACGGTTAAATTTACAAAATTTACATTTAATATAAAATTATTAAGCAGTGTAATACTTGATAAAAATTATACAACTTGAGGTAAGTTAAGTTAACTTACAGGTCGATCCATTTGTTTTTTTTCTTTCAAATATTAGCTTATGTCATGCATTTATATCATTTATATTATTTTATGTGATATTATTTGTTAATATTTATTCACTGTTTTGATATTATAAGTTGATTAAGTTGTTGTAGTTAGTGTTTACATTTTTTTACAATTTTTTTATCATTAAAATAATTTTAATTTTTAAATATAAGATTACAAGAGATATTCTTTATTTTCTCTAAGTTTTTTTTTAATTTAAATTAATCTATTTAACCCACTAATTTGTAGTGGGTTGAGTTGAGTTCATTGTCTACAACCCCATCTAAAAGTAAGTCAAATTGGATTGGTCCACCTTTTGAGCAATTTATGGTGGATAGGTTGGGTCAGACCAAGTGCCCACTTTAATCCTATTCATTAAATCAGCTCCTATAAATATAAAGTAATATCTCTGATCACAACTTTATGCCCAAATCATAGATCAAACCTTAATCATTGGTTAAGAAATACAAATATTGAACCACTTGTGTATATATATATATATATATATGTGAGGAGGGTTTAGAATTTTAAAATTATTTGATATTCAGTTTCATTAATTTAAGTCAATGTATAAAATATTCTTACGATTATCCGTCAATTTAAGTTAATGAAACTAAGTATCAAAGAGTTTTCAAATTTTATAAAAATTTACAAACTTGATCTATGCATTAAGAGTTTTTAATTCAACAATTAAAATCGTTAAAAATTAATATAAAATATGAATTATTGAATGAAGTAAATTTAAATAAACTTACTTTTAAAGTAAATGAACCCCTCCTCTCTCTTTCTTTATACATATATAAAGAGAGAGGAAAGTTATAATAACACTGGTATAACTTTTACTAAGTATTACACCGCTTAATAATTTTATATTAAATGTGAATTTTGTAAATCCAACTATTACATTGAAAATTCTTTACTCTTAGATCATATATACAAAATTTTATATTAATTCAAAATGATTTGATACTTAATTCTTATAAAACAAAATTGACGTAATATATACATTTCAAAATATACTAAAATATGAACATTTTGATTACTTTCAAGTTTTTATTTAATTTTAACAGGATTTGATATACACATATAAAGTGATATGAACTTTCAATCTAACGGTTGGATTTACAAAATTCACATTTAATATAAAGTTATTGAGCGATATAATACTTAGTAAAAGTTAAACTAATGTAAGTAATTAGTAACCACAAAGAAAGAACAGATCTACCTAAACTTACTCCGTTCAACAATTCATGTTCTACATCAAATTTCAATGATCTAACCGTTGAATTTAAAGTTCTTAATACATAAATCAAATCTACAAATTTTTAGAAAATTTAAAAATCATTTGATACTTCGTTTCATTAATTCAAATCAATGTATAAATAATTTTATAATTATCCGTCAATTTAAATTAATAAAATAAAATATTAAATAATTTTAAAATTTTCTAAAAATTTACACACTTGATCTATATATTAAAAACTTTAAATTCAATGATTAAATCATTGAAATTTGATATAAAACATGAATTATTGAATAGAATAAGTTTAGATAAACTTACTCTTAAAATAAACGAATCTTATATATATATTTATGGAGTTCGGTCTAATTGCTAACGGCCGAAACTTAACATTTTTTTTGAGCTACGAAACTACCCCTACTCCTAACAGTATAAAATATCCAATGTAGCTCAATTAATTGAGTTTAGGAGTTTTGATTCGTAATGAGTCAAGAGGGGGTTGAAAGTGAAGGATTAACTAAAGGCATGGTCACTTTATTATAAGTTCTATGAGATTATGGATCTCACAAGTTACCAGCCATTGTGGTGGGCTTATCTATCATATGCCTGTTTGTGGAGGGGGCTTATGCCTTGTCCAACGATCATTGGCCCAAACAACCGCACAGTGCATGTTCCACGTCTTTCAAAATATGGGCAATTTTATTCTCAAAGTGCTTCGTCACATAAACCCAAGTCTTGACTAATTTCTATTCAGAAACCTAATTAGTCATATTTACTATTTAGTGAACTGGTGTAGGGGGTATCAGCTTATAGAATAATTTTTGGTACCATGAACAACCCGAAAATGATTTGAAGCTAGTGCCCAGACCAACTTCAACAAAGCAAAAAAAAAAATGCTTATATCATACTGGGATGACCCTTTTGTGGGGCAACAAAATCTCTTAGCCGCCATATCAAACACAAACAAGAGTTGAAGAATAAAGGTCAGAGGCATGGGAACCACGGGAAACAAGAGGGAGAAGCGAAAGAGAATTGTCAGAAGTACTGGTTTCTGCAATATGCAAAATAAGCATGATTTTTATGAATTATAAGAAATTTTATAATATATATGAAGGCATGTACCACTGTTGAATGCACAAAAAATAAAAGATCCCGTTTTCCCTAACAGTTATCCAAATAAGAAATATTTGATTCATCATATGTCGGTAGCCGCACTCCCATACAACTCCCGGTCCTCGAACTCGGACACCATTCAAGATGCCAAAATCTGTCAACGAGGAAAATCAGGATCAATTTCAGATACAAGTTGAACCTACAAACAGAAAAAAAATCAACAGAACCTTCATGGTCTAAAATATGTTCAAGCATTCTATCAAACAATCAACACACAAATAGATTACCGTATATATTTAGCACCTCAGCAGATGAAAGAGAGTAGACTTACACTGATTCTAGATGAGGATATAGCAACCGCTGGAGGAAGATGGAAGAGAAAATAATCGTATTGCGCCTTAATACTTTAATATAATTATAGTTAGAAGTAATCTGTGAAGACAGCCCAGCTGAAAAATATCTGATGGACATTATTACTTCCCTATATAGTGTTAGTTGAAACTAGAAGCTCCATTAGCTCAGAGTGAAATTCTAAACTCTGGCCTCTCCAAATTAACACCATGTGCATACAATTCTAACTCACTCTTGAGCTTTCTCCATCTCTACAACCATCGATTCAAAAGTTCGAGAATATTCGTTTGGAGTCTCGGATGTTATGGGTTCCATCTCCATTTCATTATCGGTGCGCCCTTCACTTTCTTTATTAGAATCTTCAGTGTTTCCCAGGAAAGGACTACCTAGAAAAAGCTGTTCCCACAAACCATCATCAGGTAAATCTGGTACGAGAAATGGAGAATGATTTTCTAATGGAGACAATTTTTCATCCAGAAGCACTTTCAAGAATTCAGAACTGATGCACAAGTCTTTTAGCCCATCTGCAGAAAACTCGGGATCTGGCTGCGTATCGAAACCAGGAGATAGCGGAACTACAGGCTTTAGTTTTTCACCTACAGGTGGTTTATACTTTACTATCATCCCATCAGAAGGAACTGGCCTGTCATCTTGTTTATCTTGATCCAATATGTTCCATGACTCAGCCAAACGCCAATTATTTTCCTTAGGCTGAAGCAGCTGAACCATGAACCCTGGGCTTTGCACAACCATGACTAAGAATGATAACATCTGCTGCTGATGCTTTTCCATTCCTTGAATGCGATCACTCAGACGCAGCAACTTCTTCTCAGCAGACTCCTGGTGTTGCCTAAGTTTGACCAACTCTTGCGTGAGTGAATTTTTATCAGATTTTAGATTCTCAACTTCTTTCCAAAGGCCATGATTCGGTGCTTCTTGTGATGGTTCCTCACAATTGTCTTTCTGCGGCAATGCTTTTTGCTGATCCGCAATGTGTGGATGTTTCCTTCTGTGTATATTCTTCAACAACTGCTTCTGACCCCTAACAAAGTTTTCATTGGCAAATTCCCAGCAATCCGTATCAATTTTCCTGAAACCCTGATAGATTTTACAGTTACCAATTAGTCCCTCCCAAAAAAGACTCCCATCAACCTTGACAAATGACACAAATACAAAGAAACCAACAGATAGTGGAGAAAAAACAAACTAATACTCCTCAGATGTTGTACCTTATCACAAGGTCAGGAGTTATTTTAAGATGCTTCTAATTTATCAGGCAACAAGAAACCACAAGACAAGGTACTATCTATGTAATGAAGTCAGCAATTGGGGAACGCAACAACAAATTTCCTTTCGTATTTTGCAATACAAGCCAAAAAGAACGAAATGGTACAATCGATGGAACATTATGAACACTATTCTATTCTAAGATGATATCTGGGAAGTACGAATGGAGTAGTAGCACTACATCCATTGTGGAGCGCATAAAACTCATTAACAAAAAATTTATTTTGGGATAAACTTCTCCATAAATACTACTAAAAGAAAAAAAAATTATTGATAAGTTAAAATTAGCTCATTTAGATCATACATAAATTATTTTGTAAAAAAACTAGTTTTAACTTTAGTTTATTTCGTTTTTTCATTCATATTTTTCACTTGTAAAACTGTTTTTGAAAAAGTTTATCCAAACGCGTCCTTACCAAATTATTTTGTATCTAGTTGTGTGCACAATCTTGTATCGTAAACAGAGAAGCAAGAAGGAGTGCACAATTTCAAAGGAAGGGTAAACAAGGTGCATGGAATTAAAAACATAAAAAACGGAGTTTCCGCGTCGCAACCATAACATAATTTTGTTCTTAACACCTGCAACGATTTCAGGCACAGTATGAGAATATTGAAACTGCGGTCAATTTAAAAATCAGAGAATCGGAGGAAAATCATAACAAGAACAATAATGATTTGTTTATTTATTTCAGATAGACATGTTGAGCTAGGAAGACATGGAATTAAGAAGCCTGAGACCTGAGACCTAAACCTTAGAGGAAACGCAATTGAATTGAAGATAAGAAGGTGAGAGAGACGGACATAGATATTGAGTTGCCTGATGAAGCTGGAGAAGTTGTTGTGTTTGAAATAAGAAGGAAGGAGCGTGACGGAGAATTGAGTGAGGTCGGAGATGACGAAGCTGTCGCCGCCGTGGCTCCAACGGATGACGGAGTCGGTGTTTTGGTCTTCCACCATATCGTAACATTTCTTCAGGAAAGGAGGCACCGAAACGGAACCATTATCGTTGGATTTCACCATCGCAAATTCAACAATCAAGACAAGAGTTCAAACTGAAATTCTAAGTTGTAATTCAGAAATGAAATTTCCGTGTGCCTCCTTAATCCTTATGTACTGTCACAACACTTTCCGACCTTTTTCTTTTTTTGGGGTTTTCGAATCCGACCCCACCTTAGATATTTTTTTAACAATAAATTCATAAGAATATCCCTTTTGTTATCTGTTTTAAGTCTTTATGGTCTTTCTCACTCATTAATCCCTACCCTTATATTTTTAATTTAAGCATTAGATAACTCTGTTTAATATTTCAAAAATATTATTAATATAAATTATTTATTGATTCGGTTTATTATTAATAAATATAATAAAAAAATTGGGTAAGTATTTTTAATGGAGTGATATTGTATGAGTCCATTTTGATTTTACTACTGGGAGTTATTAGTCTTTATAATTTAATTTAGTGTTTCAATTTTATATAATTTATTTGGATTTGGGTCGGTCCAAGTCTCCTATAGAAAATGCACGTCTGTCGTGTGTGTATTACTTGCGCAGGGAGTCATCAGTCTCATTCCAAGTGAAGCGGTCCCATTGCAAAATTCCAACCAAGGATAACAAATTTTAAAAACTTGTATGAAAATAATTTATGTACAAAATATTTCATACATTATATGATGCCACCAAATTAGTGCTAATGTGAAGTTATGAACTAGTACTATGTCATTCTTCATTGAATAACGAGTATTAATTCTCAAGTTATTAAAGACTAATGCATCAAGTCACCGAAATTATTTACATGAAATTGAGACTTTATTTCTCAAATTAAATAAAAGGAAAATAATACATAATGAAATACGATATACCATGGTGAAATCATACAAATGAGTATTGTTTGAGTTTTTTTTTTTAATTAAAGAAAAAAGTTTAAATCAATTTAATTTTAGCAGTTACTCAAAATTAATGTGTTTAGTAAGAACTATGTATAAATTAGTCAAAGGTTTTCAAGTTAGTTGAAGTTTATACGTGCTTAGTAAGAAATTGAAATATTACAAAACTAATTTTATCAAAATAAATTTATTTAGTAGGTGAGTTTGTTTGAGTAATTTTTTTACTTATTTTTATAAGTGACTTCAACCTTATGAAAAATAAGTTGGCTTATTAGTCAATTTCTTTTTTTTCAATTTTATCTTAAGTTATTTACATCTATCAGTTAATTTTAAAAATTTTCAGTTCAATTAATTAGTTAAGAAACATTCAACTTTTCAACTCTTAATTTACAAATTTAAATTAAATTATAAGTTTTTAACTAAATGTACAATAGTTTTACTAAATACACAGGTTAAGAGCTGAAAAATTATATGCAGCTAACTGATTGAAAAGAACAAAGTTAACTTTTACTGATATCATATATTATATATTTCTCCACCCGAACCACAAATTTACTTTAGGTCATACAATTATGATATTTGTTGAATTCTTTGATGACCAAATTGAGTTTAGTTCAATAATTTAAAGCATGAAATTGTTGGTGGTATTTTCTAGTCTGAATACGCATATGTTACCTATTTATACCCGATTAATATAATTAATTTAATTGTTATTAATTCATGACCTAATGTTTTCACCGTGGAGATCGAGACTGATTGAATTTTTAAACAATTAATTGTATTAGTTTCATAAATAGAAATATTAATAACTCATACTTTGACACACTACTTTTACCATATTCTTTAATAAAAGATAAATTCCATGCTGTTATTATCATTTAAAATATAAAAAAAAACTTGGGCTTACGCTGTTTCTTTAACAAAACTTTCATAAAATTTTGTAAATATAGTTAGGCAAGTTGAGCAGTGTTTAGGTGAATGGGCATGTGAAGCAATAAATTGCTGAGCATTTAGATAATAGATACGGACCATCCTATTACCAGCTCACTTTGCTCAGTTTGTTTGGGAAAGGACTGGCTACAGCCTGCCTAGGTAAACAATAAATTAAAACTATACCCTGTTTTATTGTAGAGTGAGACACCATTTTTGTTTATGAAAGTGTGATGCACAGGTAAGTTAGTCTATGAAAATTAAAACTTTAAATTAGTTTTTGAATTTATATTTCCTAGTTATGTTAGTAAGATTGTTAGTGATGTAGTTAAGATGTGTTACATTAAGTGTCATGTTATGTTTTTATGTTTTTATGTTTTCATAGGTTTGTTATGTGACATTCACGTCAGCCGAACCAAAATACATTTTTCAGAGACATTTAAGATAAGAACGATAATAATATTTTTTTTTTTCTCTTTAGGTGTTTATGTCATCAAAGATTAAAATGAAGCAATCAGGAATTGAAATAAAAACATTCAAGACCAAAATGAACTATAATAAAACATTGAGGACTAAAATGAAAAATCAATATATATTTTTTAAAATGTGTTATTCTTTTCTCACCAATCTCCACTAATTTCTATTTTTGCATTATTTAAAATTATAAAGAAAGATTGATAATTTGGACATAATAGCTCCAAATTATCAAGTTCTATTCAAATATATATTTTTTGGACGAGTGTCATCATACTAAACAGAATTTTATTTTAGTCGAAATAAAGTTAATTGTAGAAGCATTATTTTACACATTAGAATATTTGATATAAATTTGAATAATTTCTTTTTACAAATTTCTATATTATTATCAAAATAATTTTCTGAAAAGTTTCAGTTGAACTTTATGAGAATTTATCTTTAATTATTAAGAATATTATTTTCATTTTTAAATGTGAAATACATTCTATAAATAATATTTTGATAAATTTCTAAAATTATTTTTAGTACTAAAATTGAGCAACAATGCAAGTTCAATCAGTATTTTTGGTACTAAAATTATTGATAGATATTTACATTAGTATATTGTCTATCAATAGATATTTGTTTACATGTTTTTTTACAAGTTCAAATTTTTAGTTATACTTATTTAAATAAGTGGGTCAAACTTCAACAATCTAATTTTCGTTCTTTTTTTTTTTTGCAAATTAAGTAGTTTACACCATAATTTTCAAAATCGGACCGGTCATCGAATCGGCTAAGGTATTGGGTCAGTGGGTCAAAGGTTGAATCGGTGGGTAGGAATGGCAAACATACCCGTACCCGCGGGTGATATCGGAACCCGTCCCGATTTTGACGGGGAATACCCGGTTTGACCGGGTACGGGTACGGGTACGGGTAAAACCTGATATATTAAATCGGGTTCGGGTACGGGTACGGGTATGTACTTACCCGCCCCGTACCCGTACCCATACCCGTTCCCGTTCTCATTTTTAATTTAATACTCACT